CCCCCCCCCCCCCCCCGTAAAAAAATCCTGCCGACGCACCTGCGCGGAAGTTGAAACTTTGGTTTTAAAACAATTGTTTTTAAACAGGTGTATCAATATCCCAAAAAGGTGTTTCTTTCGGTATCGTACTATTTTTTTAAATTATTTTATCATTTCTTTGCCACAGATGAAGCGGGATGCTATTACAACTTCCAACATTACGCGGAGGGTGACCGAATCGTAACAAACGAGCCATGTCTGAACTGCACGTGCCATAACCGTATGCTGATGTGTTACCTCCGTGTTTGCCCCTTCACGAAAGCAATCGGTCAAGACTGTACTGTTGAAAAACACCCGGAACAGTGTTGTCCTGTCATCTCATGTCCAGAGGGTAAGACAGCCTCAGATCTTCGATGCTCACATAATACCTTTCGGACCCTCAAACTAAGTGCGAGCAGGACAAAATAATGTAATTTTGCAGCGAAAAATTTACCATCATAATTTAGAGGCAAAGCAGAAAAATGTATCCGTTTCATTCGTCAAGCGTGTTTATCGACGCGTTCCATAGCACCTTTTTCAGAGAATAACTAACATATGAATGTACAATATTACTTATAGTACTACTTACAGAAAGATTTTGTCAATTTTAACCATCTTTCTCACTTTTTGTTTTAATAGTGCCTGTAAAACTATTGACTTCGACGACGGAGCAGCCTTCCACAACAACGGCGATTGGAGGGCATGATAATTACGGATGCACAATTAGGAATTCATTTTTTGCCGATGGAGTGCAGGTAAAATATATAAAATATAAAGTATGCTTGAACACCGATAAGAGGATAAATTGCGTGAACAGAGTCTTCAATGGGTAATAATTGTAGTAATAACGAATCGAGTGAATGAAGCTTGGGATGACGTGAGAACCGGCGCGGAGCTTTTCTTAAATTGATTGAAGGTCTGGGCATCATATCTATTGGGGTTCAATGCTAATTTAGCCGCGCTGTTATGACTATTTTTGAAACTCAAAAGTTTTCAAAAATATGTTCATTTTGAAATGGGGCAGCAACCTCCCGGACTATAATCTACTTCCTAAAATTGAGTAACTCATCAAAAATTTAAAAAAAAAATAAGGTTCTGAACATGTTCAATTTTTTAAACCACAAATACCCAAGACCACAATGTGATGTCATCAAGAGAAAAACAGCATTAGACCCTGCTTGGTCTTCACCTCATTCCTGATCGGTAGACAGTGCCGTGCTAAAGAAAAACGCCGTATGAACATTCGAGAGTTGCCAAATTTCCTTCGATAAAATGTTTATTTTTGAGAAAAGTTATGAATATTTTTCCTTTAAATTTTCGGGAACTTTAGGCGAAATTACGAACAAAATTTTCTGAAAAATTGTAAGGAAAATATTCATAAGTTTACCTGGAAATTTATGTTTTATTATAGGAAATTTGGCAACGCCTGAAAGTTCATACGGCGTTTTTCCTTAGCACGGCAGAGTAGGTGAAAAACCGGAATTTAGTGACCGTCACGTGGTCAAGGGTTGGGGTCAGTGACTTCATCTTTGTCTTGGTGGCCTACTTAAGGAAGTAGTAGATAAGTTGGGAATTTGGCGCAGTGGCGTGGCGTGCTTTGCTATATGTCGATTGATCGGTCATTTAAACCTATGGAAAAAGATCGATAAATAGGGTGTTCGCAGCGAACAACTTAATAATCGATTATTTACCACAGCTTCAAATGGGGAAATATCGATGGATCGCAAAGCACGCTACGCCACTGGTTTGGCGTCAGGCGTTGCCGAGCCGTGGACGGGAAAAAATGGAATTAAACCTTCATTACAAAAATTCGAAAGTAGGGAGTGACAATTTCCCGCTTTGCTAGTTTCATGGACAATTTTTTCGAATTTAATGATTTTCTGTAACTAATGAATCTCAGCTTCATTCCCTTTAAGTTTAAAGGATGTCACGTCCAAAGGGTCTTTGAATGGCTACCGAACAATCTTCTACGGAGGAAGCTTCAACTGCGTGATTGAGTCAGACAAGAGGGTCCACGTGGAGAGAAAAATATAGATACAATTAGGTAACCGCAGACCCTCTAAGTTGATTCTGCATCATTTGGAATTAAAAACTAGAGAAATGCGAAATTTGACGCTTCGAGGGTGAATGAAAGATAAAGAAATATTTATTACGAATCGTAGAATAACACATATTGATGTTGATCGTTGCTTTTGCTAGCTATAGAAACGGTTCATTTCAAACATTTGTTATAATGCAAATTATGGCTTGCGATTTTGACCAGATGTTCTTTAGAGGAAAACGAATAGTTTAGTATCCTAAGCAACAAAATCCTGTTTACTTTATTGAATAATAATTTAAATAAAGCCCAAGCTGTTGAATTTCTCTGTACGATAATAACGAAGCAACTAAATAAAACCAAAAGGTTGGAGACTTGAACGCTTAGCAAAGAAATTAAACTAAACGTCGCGCCATAGCGATGCATAAGTAAGCCACCAAGTAAACTTAATTGATTTATGGATTATGAAGATTAAACAATGAACGTAAAGGAACTTACTTATTACATGGAAATCAAAAACTTCAGAGACTTAAACGTCGTGCAAAGAAAGTAATTGACCTCTAGCGCGCACGTGATATAAGTATACTTGCTGCCGTAAAAATGAATCAGTAATGTCCATGTCAACAGTTGTCATTACAACATACAGCACATGACTGATTGTGATATCCACCCTATCACATTATTTCATTTTATTTTTTTTAATTTACTAGAAAGCGTTTTGATTTAATTTCTCCAGTGATAATGCTTTGGAGCTTCGTCGCCGACCCATTCGATGTCATTTCTTTTTAAATTAACGAATTCATGTGAAATTTCAATACAACGTCCCAAAACGTTGATTTGAACACTCGGTTCTCCGGAAATATGATGGTTTCTTAACTTCCATCAAAGACGTTTTGAAGGAAATTACACATCGACGGTGAAACTACCAAACCACGTATCTCGGTTTGTGACGTCGCAGACTTCCTGTCATACTTTATTTTTTAAATGAAAAACTACTTAACATCCAGTCTTGACAATTTCTGTGATTTTTCCTCTTTGTGCGGTGAAAATTCCGTGAAAATTTCAAGAAATGATATTGATTTGGTCTACTTCAAAAAAATAAAATGTGAGCGTAGATTTTTAAACACCGCAAACGAGATGCGTGGTTTGGTAGTTTCACCGTCGACATATTATCGATGAAAGCACTCTCATAGGCCAGCATATTACCTCCAATTATAATGGTTCATTTACTCTTATTTAACTTTCAGGTACCCTCGGATCCTAAAAAACCATGTGAATTGTGTTACTGTATTCGCAATCGGACTGCTTGCGTTATGCAAGAATGCACACTCCATGTTGAGGGGTGCCGACCTGTTTACCAACCTGGAATTTGCTGTCCAGTAAAATATGAATGTGGTAAGCACTACTTGTTTGTAACTTATTTCTTGGTTTCATTGTAAAACAATATCGTGCCAATGTAAGTTTCAACCATCAATATCGATCATTTCTCATTATTCATTAGGTCATGCCTCTCACCGAAATGTTTCCAGAATGTTTCTGCGACGAATATATGGGGCTGATACCTCACTGAAATGTGCTGCAATGGTATGTGAAACATCTATCGGACGTTTCTGTGAGAGAAAATTTAGGGGTGACATAGAATTGTTTTAGAGACCCTTTCAAAACCGCTTACACACATGATATGTTTTCAAGATGTTTCATTGAAATGTTTCAAAGATATGTTTTCAGATCAATGACACATTTCAAAAACATTTTCAATCTGACTTGTGCTAGCAGGGTAGGTAAGGTTTAAAATATCTGAAGAAAATCAATCTGTTCTTCGTCATATAAGAAGGGAGAGAATATTTCCACCTCATCTTATTAATTTATGCTCCTATCGTTACACACTAACATAATTTGTTAAAAAGAAGTATTTCTAAGTTGTGGAGGGTGTTTTAATTCATAAACTCTGCGTAACGAAGTTTCCTCTTGGCGATTGGCTCCTCTATGGTCAAAATATTTTCAAATATTTCTCAGGAGATATTCCGATCCGCGAAGCATGATTTGTGTCACATTTTGACATTCCTTTGAGTCTCCTGTTCTTTTGCTTGCAGATTACGAGGATAAAGAAAGTAGTTCTGCATCATATCCTTTCAATGGCACCTCGCTGCAAACAACAGCTGGTCCGAGTTTGGACTGCAAATATGGAGATGACGTCTTTGCTGATGGCGAAAGCATCGCAACCGATAAACCCTGTGAGCACTGTTATTGTATGCGAGGTGATATTGTTTGTGCTGTTCAGGACTGTGGTGAGCCACTTCGAGGTAAAGACTGCACGCCTTTGCCGGTCCCACCAGGTCAATGTTGTCCAGCATCCTACACGTGCGGTTAGTATCTATTCTACACTCTCTAAATTCAGACATACTTTGCTCTCTTTTTAGTCACAATCGACCCCTTGTAAACCAGAAATTAGATCCAAAGAACATGGAGAAAAACTGAGGTAGCCGATGGTCATCAAATATTTAAAAAATGTTACAGAAAGTCATATCATCTAAATTAATCGGTTGACTGTGCAATATTCGTTTGATGTTATTGTAGACTGTTGTTTATTTTATTAAATTTTAGTTTGCCGGTGGCTTCAGGCTATGTCAGCTGACATTAACAAGGGCAATTTTAGATATTGCACAGTTACGTCAAATTTGCTTCATTCCGCTGTTAAATTAGAGCTCTGCTCTACCATACATTCTGAGCCGGAGAACTTGCAAATATGAATTTTTTTTTCTCGTAGAGACTCTCTAGACTTGTTACATGTGTTCATCGTAATTTTCCAACCTAAAGTTAGAACCTAGCCTATTTTAGAGTGAGCTCCTGATGATATACGTGGAATCTAAAAAAACATTATTCGACGTATACAAAACTTAATTAGAAGTTTGCCTTCAAAATACGGTGTGATAAAATTTGAATAATTTCATTTTTCAGCCAATGAGACCATTTACCAAGATCCTGATCAATCTAACGACATAATCAATCAAGTTCAGGGTATCATAAACAGTATGAAAGATGATACAAGGCCGGATATTCTGGAAAGCACCGCCGACATCATTAATCCCGAGGAAGTTATGGCACCTAGCATAATTCCATCACATGATTCGGAAATTGAGAATCACGAAACATTGGAAGTGAGACCTGAAGTTTTGCATGACTACACTGAAAACGAAGGAAATAACGATTCAAAGCAGCCATCTACAGAATCAGATGCTTTGAAGCCAGAGCCACCTACTAGCGTGTTCATGGACGACGATAAATCGCAGATCAACCCGACTACAAAACCTGTAATTGAAGTGGATTTGTCAACAAGTACTGATAAAAGTCAACCTCAAGAGGATGATACAAAAGTCTCAAACGCCCCCGTCCTATCTGAAATAACATCTTCTCCTGCCTCAGATTCAGAGATCTCTCAAAGCCCTGCCTCAGAAGTTTCAGGAGATGAGTTATACCAAAAACCCGAGGAAAACACCTCAACTCATACAGAATCTAACTCTGCGCCGGCTGTTGATGTCGCACATTCGCCTGAAGAGAATCTGGATAAGCCCTCCTCCCAAGATGTAGTTGTTCATTCCACAGAAATAAATCATGAAGACTCTCACGTTGTGCACAGTGATTCTAATGCGCCATTATTAACACAGACTTTTGCAGAACTCGATGCTACGGAATCTGCGATCAACAATATAAATCCTCAAAAGGAAGATGAGTCGGCAACCCAAGTTTCTGTGCCTGAAAAACAAATAGAATCGATGGACAAAGAGTCTACGCCAGAGAAATTACCGGAAAATGAAATAAATCCTTCAACCATCGCCTCAGACTCTACAGCAGGTGGCTCTTTAAAACCTGACAACACTGTCCGCGATCCCTCACCGGATGGAGGAGCAGAAAGTAGTGCTCAGGAAAGTGGAGCAACAGGGAATTCCGGTAATAATATTGAAATAAATTTCACACATCCTACAGCTCAAGATAAAATTGTCACAATATCTACCTCAGTTAAGACCCCAAGTGCAGAAAATTACCTTAAACCCAACGACATTTACCAGGACGAAGTTCATCAAGATTTTCTTAACCACGATGACGAAGAGTTAGCTGCATTGAAACCAACTGAAAATGTGGAGCAAGATGAAAAAGTTCCGGATACAGACATTGCAGACCCTGAAAGCAACCGAGTACCAGGAGAAGGAGACTGTTTGATAGATGGAAAAACATACAAAAATACGACAATAATTCCGACATCCAACCCTTGCCATGTGAAGTGCGAATGCATCAGTAGCATACCCGCGTGCTCGCTAGTAAGCTGTCCTCCTCCACCTCCTCAACATCAAAATTGCGAGCCAATCCAACCTGGGAGGGACACTTGCTGCCCCACTTACGCATGTGGTAAGTTTCAGTAATTAATGTTTTCCTAAATAAATTGCTCGCCCTTTCAGTCCTCTCTTCACTAGCCAGATCAAAGTTCAGTAAAAGACTTCTGCAAACATTCGAATGAGACAAATGCATTCATATCTTACTTATGAAATAACTGATGGTATGCGCTTGACAAAATAATTCTTATGGACATTGGTTTTTGTCAGTGTTTTTGGACAGGCCCGCCACGTCCCATCTCGGGCCCTGGTACCAGTTTTAAGGTCCGGGCCCCAAGCACGGAGGGGGGGGGGTCCGAGGGGTATCCCCCGAGAAATTTTAGAATTTATAAGACTATTCGGACCCATTTTGAAGCTTCCATAAAGAATTTTTCCATCAATTTCTGCGGAATAATTATTACTTTTTTTTTCTACTTCCAGCATAAAATACTTGCGAATTGTTGCATTCAAAACATCTGGAAAATTTTTATTTATTTTTTTTTGTTTGGGGGGAGCCATATGAAACTATTTTCAGTTCTAAGAGGGCCAGGCCCCCCTGGACCCCCCCTTCGATTGCCTATGGCAAGGGAGTTGAGCCATGAGCCATTGAAGTCGAGGATGCCCAGACTGGAGACTCTTAGCATCTGACGACGGAAGAAAATGAAACGCAGTTACTAATAATATCCCTCTGTACTGAAAATCTTGAAAATAGATAGAAATTTTCAAAGAAGTATAATTCTTTGAAAATTTAAGAAGAATTCTACAGTGCCCCAGCGTGTTTCTGAAAATCTATTCACATTTGCAAAATTTTTAGGGTAAATTTTTCACTTTTTCTTACGAAACAAGGGTTGAATGTGAATTCGTAGTGGTTTTTCACGGGTAACACGGGCCTCCTCCGGGGCCCGGGCCCCGATACCAGGGACCGAGTATCCCCCCTTGTGGCGGGCCTGCCTTCATGCACGCTGTGCTTGTCGATTTCCTTTGACATTTTTGCAGTGGTGAATGCATATAGCTGAAGTGCGCTCCAGCTAGAATTGTATTTAGCAAATGGGTGGTTTTCCTACGAGGATTAAAAATAAACGAGTGGTACGGAATATGACAAAAGAATATGAACTATGCAAAACGATAATCCGGGTATCGGAACTTGGCTGATTTGAAAACGCCTTCTAATGCGGCGTGATGCCTCACGCATTCCGGAGAGTTCAAATAGTTGTATCATTGCGCCTTAGAAATGGGACGGAAGATTACAATTGAAATAGCCTCCATGCACGCTAGCTTGTCCATTTCCTCTGAAATTTTTCGCAGTGGTGAATGCATAGCTGAATTGCGCTTCAGCTAGAATTGTATTTACAAATGGGTGGTTTTTCTACGAGGATTAAAAATAAACAAGTGGCACGGAATATAACAAAAGAATATGAACTATGCAAAACGATAATCCGGGTATCGGAACTTGGCTGATTTGAAAACGCCTTCTAATGCGGCGTGATGCCTCACGCATTCCGGAGAGTTCCAATAGTTGTATCATTGCGCCTTAGAAATGGGACGGAAGATTACAATTGAAATAGCCTTCATGCACGCTGGCCTTTTCGATTTCCGTTAACATTTTTGCAGTCGTGAATGCGCTTAAGTGCGCTTCCGGTAGAATTGTATTTAGCAAATGGGTGGTTTTTATAGGAGGATTATAATTGATCAAGTGGTTAGAAATGGAAACAAAATAATATGAATTATGCAAAACGATAATCCGAGTATCGGAACTTGGCTGTTTTGAAAACGCCTTCAAATGCGGCGTGAAACCTCACGCATTCCGGAGAGTTCAAATAGTTGTATCCTTGCGCCGTAAGAATGTGGCGGGGGATTTAAATGGAGATGGCCTCCATGCACGCGGAGCTTGTCGATTTACTCTGAAATTTTTACAGTGGTGAATGCATTGCTGAAGTGCGCTTCAGCTAGAATTGTATTTAGCAAATGGGTGGTTTTCCTACGAGGAATAAAAATATACAAGTGGCACGGAATATAACAAAAGAATGTGAACTATGCAAAACGATCATAGAGTACATAGAGTCGTAATGTAAGTGGGTGAGCTGGCGCCAATTTTAAACATTTTCCAGGTCCCGAATTCCGAGACTCCTGTGTGACGCCGGGTCACTTTTTCGATACATAATCGATTGTTCGCGATACACGGGTACCCAGTCATCCAGTGTAAAATGAATGTAAACGAAGAAGATAGGAATCACCATGTATTCCACACCGCCATTTTGGATCGAACATATATCGAAAAAGTGACCCGAACTCGGCGCACACCGGGCTCGGAACTCGTCGAGCAGAATATGGTGCCAGCTCTCCCATTTACATTACGACTCTATGTACTCTATGAAAACGATAATCCGGGTATCGGAACTTGGCTGATTTGAAAACGCCTTCAAATGCGGCGTGATACCTCACGCATTCCGGAGAGTTCAAATAATTGTATCATTGCGCCTTAGAAATGCGACGGAAGATTACAATTGAAATAGCCTTCATGCACGCTGGCCTTTTCGATGTCCGTTAAAATGTTTGCAATCGTGAATGCGCTAAAGTGCGCTTCAGCTAGAATTGTATTTAGCAAATGGGTGGTTTTTATAGGAGGATTATAATTAAACAAGTGGTTAGAAATGGAAACAAAATAATATGAACTATGCAAAACGATTATTCCGATAACGGAACTTGGCTGTTTTGAAAACGCCTTCAAATTCGGCGTGATACCTCACGCATTCCGGAGAGTTCAAATAGTTGTATCATTTCGCCGTAAGAATGTGACTGAAGATTTAAATGGAAATAACATTCATGATTTTGGAAGTTCAGCAAGAAAATGCTTATTTCTGAAGCATAAATTGGCGACATTTTACGATGGTTTTCGATTTTTGATGTAAGATTGAAACTTTAGTATGCTTAATAGACTTTTTGAGATTTATTATCCTTTAACTTTTTTCTTTAATTTGAGTCTTTCTCGAGTCAAAAATATTACTTTGTGGACTTCTACTTGAATTGGTAGAGGTCCAGGCGTGACTGCGCATAATGATTTAGAAAGAAAGATTTTCCCTAAAATAAAGAAACGAATGCCTTGTAATTAGTTCACAATGTTTAAGTTTCCCAAACATTCTCGAGGAAATATTTGCACTACAAGAATAATTGCACATATCCGTCGATAAAATGTTCATCAAATCATTTTTTTTTTTGTTTACAGCAGCTGAACAAGATAGTCCCAGTCTTGAAGCCGAAAATCAAGTTATATCTGCTTCTCAACCTGCATTGGATGCTGCAAACCACACAGTCACTTCAAACGTACCTACATTAACTGACGAATCTGGACCATCACATCCTTCGGCATCTATTGAAGGTTCTGATCATGGAGGCTCTGATATTATACCATCTGTGCATACGCCTGGAGGCCAGGTCGCTTCAGATTTTACAATTAAAAATCCAGAGTACGACCAGACAACATATTTTGAGTACATCGAAACAACTGTTCAGCCTGCTTCTCAAGCAGCTGATGTTTCAGGTTCATCAGATATTGGACAAAATCAACCCCACGATGCTGAAGTAATTACGGTAATAAACAGCACACAAGATGAAACTTCGCCTCCAAGTGGTGAAGTTCAATATGAATCCCCGTTCCCAGATCCTCCAATTGAGGAAGTATCTTCAGTCCAAGCAGGTTCAGATGCAATGCAAACTTCACAAAACGATGCAGAAGAGACGGTCCATCTTCAGGAAACCACAGTTGCGAATGTTGGAAATGTAATAACGGAGGAAGTTTTGGAATCCTCCGATGCCACAGAAAAACCGTTTAAAGAGGATGAACCAATCTCAACTGGTAACCAAGCCGAGGTCACGTCACATGTTGAAGAGAATGTAGCTTCTTCATTTGCCACTCCAGAAGTTATCCATGACTACTCTGATACCTCATCTAACTCTGAAAAGGAACCGGAGTCAGTGAACGTAGATAATAATCAACAACCCTCTTATGACACGCAGTCACCCAGTGAATCTGTAACGACGCAGTCAAGTATCCTTCTCACTGAAATTTCTGAATCAGCACATCTACCCGAACAAGATATTGCGCAAGTCCCAAATACGCCAACCAAAGACGTTCAAACCAATGACCAGAAGCCAACAGGTACAACAGAAGCTGCTGAGACTCAAACTGAAGTAGTGACAGAGTTGGAGTCTGGAGATGTGTATATACCTGAACAACAAGTGGGTGCTTTAACAGACGAAACTGTGAACACTTCTGGTGGTGAAAATGCCGAAAATGGCAATCTGATTCCCCCAACGGGACAAGCCGATTCTCAGCCCTCCGTCAGCGTTGAGACTGCACCAAGTCATTCAGCTGTTCCTCCTGAAGCTATTCTTCTTCCAATCCATCAGGATGATGTTGAATCACATACAGAGTATGTCGAAAGTCCATCTCATATTTCAGATCTTGGATCTAAAATTCCTGCGGAGACTGCGACCGAAGCAGTCTATACAACAAATCAACCTCATGATCAGTCTAACGTTGTAGTTGCTCAGGACCAATCTGAACTTGCGTATGATTCTGAGGCAACCCAAGCCGATCCAAACCAAACTTCTGTTCCTTCCTTACAACAAGCAGCCTCTTCACATGATGTTAACCACGAAGGCTCAACTCAAGCATCACCAATGAGTGAAATCATTTTCCACGATGATAAAGAAAATGTGTTAAAACCAGAAAGTGACTCGTCAATTTATATACCATCAAATTTCCAAGGAAGTGAAAATAGCATTTCCGGAGCAAATCCAGTTTCACAATCAAATGCACAAGAAAATAACGAGATCCACTCCTCGCCGAATGCTGACTCATCTGACAGCCAAACAACCGTAACTCAAACTCTGTCACCTGAAAGTTCTCAAGATCACTTGCTTTCCGATGGAAACAATGAAACTTCGGATAAAAAAACACCTTCAGAAACTAACTCTTCAGACCAACATGAAATTAACGAACAACATCCACCGATGATAAATGAAGCTGTGATTGCGGGTGATGATGTTCCCTCTTACCCCTCAAAACCTTTGCTTGATACACAGTTACACTCAGAGTCAAGTAATCCTATCACAAGCGGAATAAATGAGGAAAATGTGGCCCATGACACAAGTTCAGGGATTGACCAACCATATTCACAACCATCAACTGAGGAGCCAAACAAACCATCGGTTGAGTCAGATTCCTATGATATTGGTTCAGAAACAGAATCTACTGTTGCTCCTTTAGGCGTGCCCGGTGAAAATGTGGCTGGTGCCAGTGGCAAGCCGGTCCCAGTGAAAGACGAAGAAGTCATTGAAGGTGAATCGGTGGCAACTTTGCACGAACCCACGGCTGCACCTGAAATGAGTCATTCGTCGAAACCAGAAATTTTACATCAAGAATCTAACGATGAAGTGATTTCACAATCGCAATCTACAGATGCACCAATAAATGATCAAAGGACCACTGTCATGCCAGTAGTTGAAGATATGCCATCGGGAGTCACGGATGAAATTGAAACAAATAATGGAGCCTCGCCAAATTCCGCACAGCCTATTAATGAAAACGCACAAGAGTTGTATGATCAGACAACAAACATAGGAGTTGTCGAGTCGGACAAAATACAAGAGGCAATTTCACCACCTCAAGAGTCATCAGCAGATTCAGTAGAGCCACAAGAAAATGTAACGCCGTCTAATGCAAATGACGCCTCAGATTCTACGGAAGCACCATCCCAAACGATCAATGATGTTCCGTCTATGCAACAGGGTGAAGTTTTGCAAACCGTCGACAAAAATTCTGAAAATTCTTCTGAAACACCAATTGTAGCTGATGGTATGCCGTCATCTCCTACAAATGAAGAAATTAAACCCTATTTGACTGAGAGTGATCCCGTGACCCACGGAACACTCATTAGTTCAGAGACGCTTGGAATAAACGTTGATGAAAATATTTCGCAATCAACCGAAAAAGCTCCAAGTCAGGATAGTATTCCTTCTACATCGCAAGAAGGTGCCGAAGCACAATTTTTAGGAACTGTTGAATCTAGTTCTATCAATTCCGTACACTTTTCGGAGATTACTCCTGAAAACGATGAACATAATGTAGAGATCAAACCTCCTGCTGATGAAATTCTTTCTCAAACAGTAACTGAGATGACAAATAACGTAGAAATTCCGGTAGACAGTCTAATTAATCAAGAGCAAATCAATGTAATATCTAGTCAAAACAACATAAATGATCAGGCAAACTTAGATAAAACGGAACAATCATTGCCTCACTCCAGTGAGCCTTCTCTAATTATACAACACTCTCCTGAGGAGCCAACAGAAGCTCCACTCTCATCTAATTCGCAGTCTCCCTCTGTTGATCCCTCTGATCCAAGTGCATCATTTGAAACTGGTGCCTTCAACCAAGACAACATAGGGTACAGTTCTGAAAATCCTGCCGTTGTCACAGAAATTTCATTTGAACATGGTTCAAAGAAAAATATAAGTAGTGTCTTCCCCCACGATTCTGACTTCCTTCCATCAATTTCAACAGAATCTACCCCATTGATTGGGTCAGAATCTGTTTCTCCTCAAGGACAAGTAGGAAATACGGAAGAAGCACTCAAACCATCTGATCCTATTATACCAGAAGGTACCTTCTCTGAAACTCCTACAAAAAAACCTGTTCATATGCCTAGTCAAGCTGATTTATTGACTTCTATTATTCAAGGACATTTAGAAGATCAAAACAAACCCATCAGTGGCTTTGGATCGAACATTGATGCTCAACTCTCGGATTTATTAAATAAAGTTTCCACTCCTGTCCCAATATCGTCGGCATCAAGCAGTACTGCTCACGATACTATTTTACAGTCATCCTGGACACCAAAACCAATGCCACCTCAATCTGAAGAGTCCTCTCATCGACCTGGCGAGGAAGAATCATTTCCAACCGATACAGAATATGAGGAGGATGAAGAGGGTTCCTTCGGACCAGGAACATGTAAATACCTGGGGAAATTGTACGTTTCAGCACAACAAATCCCAAGAGATGATCCGTGTGATTTTTGTTTTTGCTTCCGAAGCGACATTATCTGCTTACAACAGAGCTGTCCCCCACCGATATTCGGATGCCGCCAAGAATCTATCCAAGGTTTTTGCTGCCCGCGATACGAATGTCCCGTTTCCAAAGCTCTAGTATTTAACTCTTCCAGCACCTCAACAACTACCACCACTTTACCACCACATTTTCACAGTTTGTCTCCACACGGAGAAAACTTAGTGAGATCTGGATGCTCCCTTCAAGACCACGCATATAAAGTGGGAGAAATAATCAGAGAAGCATCGGGTCCCTGCAGACAGTGCATGTAAGTAAATTTTCATTTATTTTTGTAATTTTCCTCAGGCTTCTTTCTCTCTTATCATCCGTTTCACAAGTCAATTATTCATGTTTAGAGGTATCTAGATTAAGGATGTACATCAATAGCTGTAACAGATAAACCAGTATGACTGATACTGATTTGTGTAAAATTTTATGATAACTCTCAGCAGTATTCTTTGCCACCGTTCTCACCGTTCGTTTAAGTCCTTAAAATCTCTTTGGTATTTTTCCGCTATTCTTGAGGCGCCATGAAATCCAATTGCGGATTCAATAAATAAAAGCGTTTTTAGATGTAAACGGGAAATCGACGTTAACCATCCCACGAAGACCGACAGTATCTACTAACATGCGAATGTGTCAGGTGGTATACTTCCTAACAAAATTATTTTTTGACACATTAAAAATATTACAATTTTTCATTATGGCTGGACGACTATTACAATCTAAAAAGGATTGAGTGCTGTCAGCTTGTTTTTTATTTTTATTTTTTTTTGATTGCTTGTTTGCAGGACCTGTTGTAGTCCCTCCATAGTTTCCCACTATGATTCATTCCAAGTTTTTGTGTTGGATTTAACAAACCTGTATGATAATTCAGTTGATAAAAGATAATTCGCGTGAAACACATGTCCTAAAATTTTTCTGTACAAGATTTTATCGAACTACAAGATAATTCAAAATTGCTGCACAAATTCAATGTCTTTTTTGGAGATAACCAAGCCATTTTAATATTTGCAGCTGTAATGTGAAACCAACCTTTGTGGATAATCCTCTTAAGTTTTTTTTTTGATAAATACTCATACCTTTTACTCTCTTGATCAACAGATGCGGTGCGGATGGTCACATGAAGTGTGATCCCAAAACGTGCAGCCCGGGGCCAATGCTCCAAAAAATTATGGAAGAAGTCGCAAGTCGAAGGAGATGAGCTATGTAAATGATACTTATAGCGTGTAGAAATGAAACAGTACATATATGTAAAATAGACACAGAAACATCCTGGAACAGGCTGTAAACAATAAAACTTGCTTACAGCCTCCTCCACGCTGTTTTGTGTTAGTTTTATTTACATATTGAGCTGCCTATTTTTGCTGGCAGATTATATATAAACACTTAGTTCAACAGGTGCCAAAATGAAACTGAATATGTATGATTTTTTAGTTGTTTTCTATATGTGTACTCTTTCATACATGTTTTGCAGTTTCGAAGAATGTTCAGAATTATGACTAGGGTTTAAATAACAACTATTTGCGCCTTTTGACTAAGAATAATTTACCGGTCTGACTTTCAATCGGTTTATCAAAACTTTATAGAGAAGTTAAGAGAATCAAATACACCTCGCTCAGTCTTGATATACCCACCAGAAAAAGGTCTCACTGGGTGTCTTGCATTTCAAATTGCATATTCATTAGCAAGAAATAAAACGTAGATGGGTGAAAAATTTAAAAAATGAAGAGGAACGATACAATATTGTCGAGGAAGAAACATGAATAAGAGATACCAATTATTTGAGGTGAATAAAGAAAAAGTAGGTACCTACGTAAATTTTAATAGAAGTAGGCTATAAGCCCAATAGACCTGAAACGTGATTCTGAACGTTCTAGTTACACGAAATCTGAAAAAAAAATTGATACAGAATTTTGTGAACCAAATCTGTATTAGTGATGCATACTGTTCCATACTGAGGATAAACAGTGTTGTTATGAAATTTGTACTCAAGTATTACTTGAACATGTAGTAAATTATGTACTGACTTTTGCCTATATTGTAGATTGTACATTTGTTCTATTTATTAGTTCTTTCTTTGATCACCATTTCAACACATATTCATAATACCTCAATCATTTAGGTACATACGTGCGTACAGATAAAAAACAATGTTAGTGCGGTTATTAGATAATGACTGTGTATGATCCCCAGTAAATTCATTAATCAGTAGTAGATTTGTATCAGTGATAATCAGGCATTGGGTTCATAGGCTACACTTTAAGTACTGTCAGTAATTTATCAGTGGTTACTGCACTTCCTGATGGCTGTATCTAATCAGAAATCAAGCTCACTAACATTCTTTTTTATCCGTTTGCAGCAATAGTTTTTTGAACTGTTGATCAGGGAAAGGACGTGTAGAAAATTTTAGTGAGGAGTCACTATTTTCTAAATATATATATACATATATATAAATTGTATAATATGCATCGTGCAGAATCGAGGTATCACGTACTTGCATAACTTTGTAACGACTTTTGGCTCCCAGTGAGATTCCACCACTCGGGAGGTCACACTTTATATCCTAGAAAATAATCCGTTCGTGCAAAAGCTCAACAATTTTATTCGAGAGAGCTCAGTTCAAGAATCACATCCAAATATCAAAAGATTGTTAGAGAGGTTGATTTTTCATGAGCTTCCGGGTGGAATCTCGCATTGTTTGCTTTAAAAATGTCCCACCTCGCATGTGATAGTGCCATTATTTTTTTTTCTCTCTCTATAGAACTCGTAACTGTTTTTCTCTCCATTGATGGGATTTACTAAAAAAACCGGAGGAGCTATTAAAATTTCAGATTGACTTCTTTGATGATAAATAAAAAAACGGGCCAAATTTTCGAAAGGTTTGGGAGGAGAACCTTTCTCGTTGACTTTGTCGGTCGTACTGGCAATATAACTGTCCACTCACAAAAATGTTTCGAACAAAGCCGGAATAAGTAGTGTTTCAAGATAATGAATCGGCAGATTCAACCGTGCAAAACTCAGCGTCAATGCAGTTTAAAATGTGCAGCGCGTTTTTAAATCCAAAAAAGGCTGTATGTTTAATTTGACAAAAGGAAAGTTCAATCGGGAAGAATGACCTCATGAAGCTTCCACGCACTATTAGCCTCCTTATTATGAAGAACTCCTCTGTGGGTGACATATTTTCACTTTTGCAAGTGATTCACCTTTTCAGAGTTGCACATAAGGTGAAAAGCAGGGGTCTCGCTTATCCTGGATTTTTTCACCCTCTACCTTAAAGTTATTTACAAGATAATGTTTTACCCGACTTCAGCGAGAAACGATCACGGATTTAAGAAAAAAGGTGTAATGTCATTTCAGCATCCTTTTCATAATGATACCTCTCGCAGAAACTTTTAATCGACAAGAACGAGGTTCTTAAGAAGTTCATTTCTTTGGAAGATCTCATAACTTTACTTTATTTTTTAATTTAAGTGCAGGAATTGGATCTCCTTTTTTAAAAATTCCTCTTCCTCCACAAAATATTTATGTCTGATCTATTTTTCCTTCAATTTTCACATTTCACTTTACTACTTCCTTTCAATACAGTAATGTAAATCCATAAACTGAAATTGAACATGAGAATTTGGAGACAAATGTTTGTGGTGTAAAAAATTATAATATAATAGGGCATGAAAGATATTTTTTGAAATCCTCATCAATCCTCATACAGCTGAAAACCATGTATCTATATCGATTTTACTGAGAAGCTGAGTAAAGAATAGTGTAAATCTGTTTTATTTAACAAAACAATCGCAACGAGCAAATGTTGGCACTTTTACACGTAAATTTTATACTTCTTTCAACTTTAAAAACGCAAGTATCTCGTTATTGATTCGCACGTATGTTTTTTTTTTTTTTTTAGACTTTGACGGCTGTAATGTTTTGTATAGTATTATTTATGATAATTTTATTAATGAGAAGAAAATACATTACATCATATTCTAATTTGCAGTAAGTCATGTCCGGAGCTTTCAAAACTTGTAAAGTGCTTGTTATTTTGTTCTCAATATTTTGTCAACTTAGATTATTCATTTTTATTCCTCGTGATCCTTAGATGTATTCTACTCTCTGTTTATGTATTACGGTTCTAGAGACGGACTAATCAGTCCGGAGAGTATCAAGAGGTTCGTTGACTTCTGTATAGCTATCTAACAACATAGGGAAAAAAGACATTTTTACAGGTTATGAAAGTAGCCATAATACTTTCTGGACTGGCCTCGTGATTAATCTTCTATTCCTTAAATCGAGGTATTCAAATACAAAAAAATCTGAGTGTCATCGATGTCATTTTGACCTTTTATTTTTCTTGATAAACTTCAATGTTTTTAAGAGATTATTATACTCATGAGAGTCTTGCGACAAGAATACCTGGGCTCGTCGGTAAAGTTTGGTAGCGTAATGTCATTAGAAGGATTCACAAGTTTGCTCTCTGTGTTTCCCGCGAACATTTTTCCATTTCCCTGTGCATTTGGAGATTTAGAGCCTTATATATTTTGTTCCTCTCTTGCTTAGAGCCCCGAACAGTCACGAAGAACACAGTTTTTGTGTCTCCTTTTTTGGTCTCTAGTTATACCCAACATTTTTAAGCACAAACACTCCCCTGTTTCCCATGGCTCGGCCATCTCAAATCTGATGGAACTTTGAAAGAATAAACTTTCTATAGGCTTGAATTTTGCCGCTGAAAACATATAAACTGTTCCTTCCATTGCCTTGAAAGGGATTTGTCAGGTATAGCAAACGCTTTCCCAGCTCTCTCGGAGAATTTCGTTTAGGCCTTAAGAGGAAAGAAAGGAACATCAGTGACAGATATTCGAATGCATATAGACTTTGATATTGAAAAGGTTCAGGATGAAATAAAAGAAAATCACAAAAGTTATTTCGACGATTAAAAACTCCTGCAGCTTCCGTAAACAAACGATTCGAATGCTGTCGTACACAAATAAGTTGGGTACCTAAGTACCACCCTCTTTGAATGTGAATTCTCAATGTAAGGTAAACTGTACCTTATCATGGATTAAGATTTGAGCTCTTTAAGAGTGCTTGTTTGAGTTAAGTCCATGGCATTGTTTTTTTTTTTTCCTTTAGTGTATTTATCCTTTGGTACTTCATATAAGTATCAAGTTGTGATTAACTTTTTTGCTCAGTATTTTTATTCTCCGATAATTTAGTGGCTAGTTATTTGCAAAATTTGACAAAGTATTTGTTGATTCATTACTTTTTATGTCAGTTTTTATATTGTTATCTTTTCTCATTTCTTATTTTTTGTTTTTATCCGTCTACCTGCCTGCCTGCCTGCCTGCCTGCCTGTCTATCTATTTGATCGACCATCTTCCTTCCAGTTCCTTTATTCCTCCTTATTCTCCTCCTCCTCTCCCCCTCTTTCTCTATAACTTGTTTACCTCCTTCATTCATCGTTTCAGTTAACTATAGCTGCATACATCATGACTAGAGGTATATTTTGTGCAGTATTTGCTTCATGTGTAAATATTGTGGTTGTGAAATTATGTGAGATTGTATACCTGTGCTATACATAAGATTAGTTTTACTTCGAATCAAACTTGCAAACTAGATTTTTATGACTTTTTTCTTCCTTTTTTAATATATCGAATTTATGACTCATGCCAAACAAGTTGACTTATTTATGGTTTGACAGTGACTTTTATGCTGCATAAAAGTTACAACCACTTTCGCCATTTTCTACAGTTTGTTCCTATTCGTCTTGCCCATTTGTGGCAATAAGAAAGCTTAAAGGATCAAGCTGGAGATTTCAAATGACGATTCTTTAGGTTTCCGAAAAATAATTTTTTGAAATTGAGTGTTTTTAAAATGATTATCGTCAAGATATGAAGTTTTAGGGGAAAAACTAGAGACTAATTTTACCGTTTTCGACATATTTTCAATTTTTCGGCACACCTTCAGTAAAAATCTTTTATTTTTCTAACGCGGAGTAGCTCTTCCAATTGCTATAAATAGCAGCTAACAGAATTCAACAACAAGAGTATATTTTTATTTGAATTTTAGTTTCACATTTTGGAACCTCAAAGGCAAACTCAATAAAATATGAAGAAACATACAAATGAATGCATAAAAATTGAAATTCCGAAATTTTTTGCTCCTTAAAAAATTTATTAAATGCTGTAACATTAATTTATAAAAAACTATAATCGTTAAAAGAGAGCAAAAATTGAATGTATTCAAGATTTGTCACTAGTCCAGACCCGTAGGAAACAGGTATCATGTCCTTACATTCGCGGCGCAAATATATCATGGACTCACCTTTACAACGGCATAAACACGAATAAAACAAAGCAGCGCATGTAGCCTAGATAACAGCTGATATCCCTAGGACTACAAAAACTTCATACCTAATCCCAATCGGTTCCACCTCAATTTTTTTTTTTTTAATCAACGATTCTACCGGGTAGGTATACTCATAAAATAAGTTGATTTTTTTTTCTTCAAAGCTATACATGAAAATAAATGAAAGTTGTAAAAAAAATATTTGTTGCGGCTTTATCTTGAACCGTTTTTGAGGTACCGATAGTGGATGAGTGGTCAGGATCACCCTGTGTACTTATTTTAAGAATAAGCCTCATAATTGCAAAAATTCGGGTGCACACGCAAGGTGTAATCACCTTTTTACCTTATCTAAAATTGGGACTTCGAGTGGGTTTTTTTAGAAACAAGAAATTCAGTCAATGAATATATTCTTTATAGGTAGGACTGAACGGAAATAAACGATGAGTGCACCTGAAAATCTGTAATTCTGAAATTCGCATTCTTTAACACACCATTTTTGTGGTCTGTAGCAATTCTTTTCAAATGCCTTGCGTCCATTGCAACTGAATTTTTAACTGTTGCCAACCAGGATTTTAAAGAAATAGATGTTAAATAACCTGACCTAAATATACAAAAAATTTCGCAAATTGGTATCGATTTTTCTACGTGTAATTTGAAAAAATTTTATTTTCCCGTACATAGAAAACAATTGTGAAATTTTCAGTGTAAGGTTTGAATTCCTTGACAAACCTGGTGCCCAACGATGTAGGAAAAAGTGCAAAAATTTGATAATAACTATCTAGACTGCGTAAATAATGCGTTAAAGAATGGATTTCTGCCTTGTTTAATATACTCATCATAGATTTGGGCAAATTTATATTTAAATTTTTTATTCATTTATCTATGTCCCTTGGGTACAACATACCCAAATTTAATCTCGAGTATCTTAAACGAGGGTGCTTTTATTGTATTTGGATGACTTCTAACCTAACCTTTTGGACTATTTTCGGGTGTAATCGGCTGTTTTTTTTGTTTTTCCCTGGTAAAAATTGGCGATAGGAGCTGCGTTTCAAAATACCATAGGAGTTCTTATAGCCGACTGAAGAGGGCGATAGAAAATCATATAGCTGGCTGTAGAAAGTGGAAAAAATCATACGGCCGGGCTACACGAAGCGATAAAAAATTATAAAGCCGGGCTATAGTTCCTATCGCCGGGCTTTACACTTTATCGCCTGGCTGTTGCTTTTTCGCCATCGGCTGTAAAAGGCTATAAGAAATTGAATAGAAACTCTTGTGCTTTGTAAATCCTTAAGTTTGTACGGAATCACCTTAATATTTACAAAACGCACATTACATTTTCCTTTACTACATATTTTTTTTCATCAATTAAAATGAGAATAATCCATACAGAGTGTGCAAACATTTCAAGATCATGAGTTGAAAAACGCTGACTCCGCGAGATTAAATATAAGAGCCTAACACAAAGCGGAGCGACGCCGGCGCACTGGCGCCTACAAACCTAACAGGGATACTTCACGCATTGCGCAATGCGTGAAGTATCCCTGTTAGGTTTGTAGGCGCCAACGCGCGTTCAGCGCTGGCAGCCCGCCCGCCGCGCCGCGCCGCAGCGTACCGCGGCGCTTGAAGCAACTATTTCACACCAGAGGTATTGCACAATATCATACGAAATTGAAGGCACTCCAACATCATAGGAATGTCAGGCATCCTTCAAAAAAACGGAGCTTTCCTCGCAAATTAAATCAAGATACTGCGGCCCAAAAAGAGAGCGGTAGTCCAAAAACTCACTAAATCCTAGCATCCGTAATTAGTAACGTTTAGCATACACTTTATCGCCAGGCTGTAGCTTAATCGCCTTCGGCTATAGAAGGCTATAAGAAATTGTGTTTCCGGCTATAGAAGCTATTGGAAATCTTACAGCCAACCGTAGGTCTATGGTATTTTGGAACATAGATTCTACTGCCAATTTTTACTAGGGTTTTTTTCAACACGGAAAAAATAACTTAGCGCTGAGCCCTAACACTTTAGGTAAGATAGCGTTAAATACAGGCAGAAGGAATGAGCCTCACGGATAGCCTGTAGGGCTGGACCCTAAAGCTGTAGGGCTGGACCCTAAAGCTGTAGGGCTGGGTCGACTATTGAAATTGATAGACAAAGCTATAGACAAAGAAGAAAAAAAGGATATGGGAGGGACCTATTTGTGGGAAGGGGTGATTGCAATGGACAAAAGAGATAGGTAATAACGGCAACCCACGAGAGAGCCTTCAGTTAGTTCATCATTTTCTCCCTTAAACTATAAGAACCACACATTGCAACCAATATGATCGCTCCATACTCCCTTTATCTTCTCTGTTTATTGCTTTTTTTTTTTTATCAATTTCAACAATCAGCCCAAAGCACTACTGCCTGTAGTTGGTGATATTTTACCTGTAGTGTTTGGGCTCCGTGTAGCCGGGCAAAGTTGAGTTATACTTTGAACTATCATAGGTAAATGAAACGAATCACTGCGCACTGGCTTTGTTATGTTAATTTGGTAGCTTGTACATCATTTACGCAGTTTGACGAGCCTAGGCCCGTGAGGGTTGTCCTTGCTCTGGGTCCATGTGATTCTGATTCACTACAGCTGGAGCTGGTCTACTTTCTGGGGGGGCTCCTGCCTCTGCAAGTTTTATTCTTCTATGTTTTTCTGCAACGAAATAATTGAAAAAATTACTATAGAAAATTTTAGTTATATTATTGAGCAAACAAAGTTGTAATTACATATTTTTTCTCCTCTTCCTTTGCCATTATAGTTCTGAAGCTAGAGAAAATCGCAGTGACAAACATGCAGAAAACTATTGGAGCGTTGTTCAAGCAAACGAACTATTTGTTGCCCAAAAGTCCTTGAAATTTTCACTAATTTTAGTCCTGCATTCATTGTGAGAACACTTTCGACACTTTTTGCACTTAAAAACAGTCAGCTGTCCCTATAGTTACAGTTAGGTTTCTTACTGTTGTGGTAATAATATTTCTTCAGCAATTTCGTTACGTCACGTGATTGAATTCTAACATTAGCGAATCCAAAGGCAGTCGCTCTCTGTCTTGTGATATATCAAAACTTTGAAAATTTCAATTTTATTGGGCCCTGTTTACAATAGAGAATAAATAGTTCCCTCCAATTTTGGCAGAAAAATTTCGGGCATTTCTCTTTTAAATGATTAGTCGTATTACTCAATGCGGTTTTTTGCAGAGGAGTGGAGCTTTTTGGTTCACACAGTAAATCTTCATTTATCTTACTCTTAATTTCAAAATAAGGGCCAATTAAAGGTTTATTTCATTCCATTAAAAAAATGGATATCTGCCGGGTCAATAGTGCCACAAAAAGCCGCTGTGCCTTGATATTTATTTGAATTTTTAAAAAAATTAAGTCTGCAGCTTAAAATGTCCGTTTGTTCCTCTCTTTTTAAAAAGAGAGCGAAAAAAAAATCGATAGATATTTTTACTAAGTAATTTTTAACGGAAAAGAGGAACATTCATTAGATAGGTACGTTGAGTAATATAAAAATTAATACACAGTGAAAAACAAATCAATAAGAAATATTGATCAAAATCCAATTTGATAGAAAAGAATGACGACATGTTTGCAAACTTAGGCACAGAAAATTTTTGGTCGATACGTCAATTTGGGTACTTCTGGGTAGGACAAAAAAGTGTAAAAAAAGTCAATCAACGTACTTGCTAGCCGAAGCATCATAGTGCCCCACCAAATACCCCAACCCCAACCAACGAGGCAAAATAGGACTGTAAACATTTGAGCGAGAGCCACCATGGTGTTGATGAAGAAGGATCCGATACGTGCAAAAGGCGTATCATTCACCGAAAATCGTGGTTTTCCAAGGCACAAACACATTACCCCACTCCAAAACGTGCCTGTTCAGAACAGACCATGACAGAGTAAGTCAATAAAAATAAGAAACATAGGAGAATAAGTCAAGATTTATCACTATAGATCAATTACTCTACGCTTGAGTTGATGAAAACCCCGAGAAAACCCCTGATTTTTTTTCAACTTTTATCATACCTTCTTAACAGGCAAAATTATAGCATATTATGATCATCGAATTTAGTCACTTGAACTTTTTGTGTCCAGCTCTCGGTTTTTCAGTTTTGTTGGAAAACCATTTTATTTCTCTTCTTCTGGTTTAATGGTTTTTATTTCGTTTTAGAACTAACGGCCATTTATGAACCCGAGGCACATTCATTTTGTAGTCATTACATATTTTCAGAAATTATGGCCAAGCAAAAATTTGTTTCTGCAGACAAGTGCCATGCAAATTCAACATCACTGCCAGGATTCGAATTCGGAACTTTTTAATGAAGTCACGGACACTCTGAAGATTGGGCTAACCTGAGCGACTAAAGAACATCTTCGCTCAGAAGCTTTATGGTCATCCAATTCTAGAACATCATGATTAGATTAAAACAAAGTATCCGTTTCAATTCTAAGGTATCAATCTTTTTTTTTTTTTTTTTTCGATCTGCGGTTTCCAAAAGGCCTTCTTTCTGTCGTGGAAAGATTTATTTTAATTTTTCTAAAGTTCACCAAAAACTAGAACATTTGATTAATTGTAAATGATGTCCACTCTTGTTCCCCCTTCCCTCTTTCTGTGCCTCCTCGCTACACACACTCTATCTCTCTCTCTCTTTCTATTTTTTTATCCGCCAACATCCCCATCCCCCACTTCTATGCAAGTATGAAAGATATTGCTTGTTTTACGTTCTTCAAACACTGCAAATCTATAAAGAATCTTATATACATATGAAACGCATCATCTTACCGACGCCTGGCAAAAAAAGATTCAATATAAGGCACATCCAAGCGACAGGCACTGGAAGAACCGGGATTGCCGCCTTCATGATAGAATTATACTCTACAAAAGTTTGGTCCAATTTTGGAATATCCTGCAACAAATCAACACTTATTCAGGAACCTTTTTTTTTCAGAATTTATAATACATGTCTGAATTCCTCCCGCTCGCTCACTGGAACATACATATTTGGAATACATACTGGAAATACATATTTCCCCTTAACTTATGGTGAATACTTGAGCAAAAATTCTAAAATTATGACTCGCAGTCCAACAGCATTCCTATACATTCTTGTAGACGCTGATATGCGTTTCAGGTCAGCTGACCGACTGCACTGCGTTTGGCGCAATGCGAGAAGTATTCATGCAGTCCTGTAGGCGCTGATATGAACTGTACGCCGACCGCACTGTTTGGTGCAATGCGTGAGGTATTCCTTCAGTCTTGCAGGCGCTAACATACGTTTAACGCCGGCTGCACTGTTTTGCGCGACTATTCGAACTCCCGTTACAATAATTGCGACATCGAATAATAAAAATTAAAGCCCATATTGCATTTTGACACCGCATAAGCATTCCAATGTTGCATCCACAGGAAAAAAAACACATTGGATCTATAGTCCAGACTCTTAAAAACATCGACAAGAAAAAATACTCTTGATTCAATCAGATTTAAGCTTAAATCAAGAACCAAGCCTATTAATTTGAGCGGATTTCCTTTTGAATTAAGCTTAAATCTGATTGAATCAAGAGTCCTTGTTCTTGTCAATGTTTTCAAGAGTCTAGACTCTAGATCCAATGTGTTTTTTTTTTTCCAGTGTATAATATCTTAAATATTGACGCTCCACTTCACTTTAGAACTGCTGACATCAGGTTTGGCTTCACTTCACAGCCTGCTCCCATCGGCAGTTACGTGTCCGACACCCCTTTACTCCCTCCCCCCTCCGCTACATAGACCTTGACGCCATTTCTTCACAACCTCTCAAAGATAGCAAGCTTTTTACCAGGATCGATGGATAAAATAATGTTAAAAATGCTCGCGTCCTTCTCTTCAAAGTCCATTATTTTAAAATGCGTTTCGGACTGCTTTTGAGTCCACCATCATGTCAAATCGCAAGTATAGACACTTTTATCACAAGAACGGGATATTCATAGGTTTATTCCATTGCGAGTATGTTATTGTAGTTGTTTGGATCATATTTGATATAATGGAAAATCCCGATGCAGGTGACGTCACTGCTATTAGAGTCTATGTATTTGGGTCGCATTTGGCAAAAGGGAACAAGCATGATTACAGCGTTTTCAAAATCGTGCAACATCTCCTTTTCTTTTACAAAGACTTAATATATGTACGGTATTAAAATATACACAATATTTTTCCTTTGAAATGAACGATTTTTTGGTGAGAAGTCAAAACTTTTCGCTATTCTGGGAGATTTTTTAGCTGATCATGAGGGTGCAAAATGTTTACAACGCGGTAATTGAGCTGGTTCCTTTTTGCTAAATGCGATCCATTTAGGATATTTGAAATGGATCGCCCAGCGAAAAATTTCTGGGAGAAGAAACAGTTATGACTCACAGAAAAAATGCTGGAAGTGCGGCTCTTCTTGAAGGCTGCCCGCGAGTTCCGCTTTTTCCGGGCAGCCTCCTCTTCGGGCGATATACTGCCACAACAGCCGCCCGGTTTACAGCAATTCAAGTTCTTGCACCTACAGATCTGTCGAATCCTTTGACAACAGCCTAAGTTGAGACAGAACATGAATCTCCAACAGCTCTTCATATTGGCACATTTGATTCGGGACTCATCCGACATGTCACTCATGTCGTCAGTCGTCGAGGGTCGCCTGCAACAACTCGACAGGGGAACTCGACAGAACCTCCCTCCCTGGCAGCAAGACTTCAGCTCCAGCTTGCGGCAGCAGTTCAGCTTCCCACACATGCTACTAAGTTTGCTTGAAAGGTTCATGCTCGGACACCACTTGAAACAATTAAGTCTTTGGAAGAGGCTTGGCTTTTCCAACGTGCCTGCTGCTTTCGGAGCTTTTTGCCACCTTTGACAGCCCTTGCAGCAGTTGAGGATCTTGCAAATGTTTCCGAGGCATCCCGTTGGCTTTGCTGAGGTAGTTGCGGAGCTAGTGAGTCCTTCTGTGGGTCTGAAACAAAAAGTGCAAATATATAGTTTTACATAAACTATTTAAAAACCGAAGACTGTGGCATAATGAAGTCACTTGCGGAGGAACGACATAAGTCATGCCAAAGAAGTTGAGCTAGTATCGTTTAAAAATAAATGGGCAAAATCCGAAGACACTGCCGCGAGTGGCCATTAAGGTGATTCGATGGTTGCCATTTTTTTGTGTCAGAGCGACGTGTGATATATTGCGTCAGTTCGTTACATAATTTCAGCTACTTGTCATTTTTTTCGAATTTTGAGATCGCGCGATTTTGCGATTTTTTCTTCTGTTGTCATGAGACTAAAGAATTCATGTACCAAATTTGACAGAGAAATTCAACGTATTAAAGGCAGCGGTTTTTCGGAGGAAAAATGTCGCATTCGAGTGCAGGTTTGATATCAGTATTGAATGCGATACTTTTCCTCTAAAAAAAACCCTGTCTTCATTACGTTGAATTTCTTTGTCAACTTGGGTACATGAATTCTTTAGCCTCATGACAACAGAGATGAGATCTCAAAATTCGAAAAAAAAAATGACAAGTGGCTGAAATTATTGAACGAATCAATGCGATATATTGCACGTCGCCCTGACACAAAAAATGGCGTCCGTCGAATCACTTTAATCACTGAAATAAAAGGTAACAGGGACATAGCCCGATACTAATAGTGATTTTCTTAAAATAAAAATTTGCAGATAACATGCACACATACTATGTGCCCAATCACATGATTTCAATGTTTAATGGGTCTGTTGCACGTAAGAGATATACAACCATGTGAATATCAACTTTCTAGCAGTATAATAGAACGAAAATCACGATGATTACATCAAGAGTGTCTTAAATCTACTCTTCAGTACGAATTTTGCCTGGTTTTGCGCGTACAGCAAGACAATAATGGCAGGGCCGGATTTTCTTACTTGCCGCCCATGGGCCGCCTGTATTTTACCGCCCCCTTCTCATTCGTTTTGAAACATCAATAAAAACCATCAAGTGAACGTGCCAGCGGGGGAGGGGTGCATAAGACGCGTTTATTCGTGTTGAACACATTTTTTGGGAAAGCCCTGTCAACACTACTAGCAAAAGGTCACGAAACTTTGCGCGAAAGTCAAGTTTCGCAAACCTATCTCTAATGTACAAGGCCTTCCATTCATAAGAAATGAACGAAAAAATTATGAAAGAACAAACACAAAATTTGGTTTAATGATTTTAACTTCCGCCGCCGCGCCGACCGCACCGTGTTTGTCGCAATGAGTGAAGTATTCACGCAGTCTTGTAGGCATTATCCGTTTCACGCTGACCGTAATGACCACACTGTGTTTGATGCAATGCGTGAAGTATTCATGCAGTCTTGTAGGCGCTAATATGTGTTACATGCCGATTGCCGCGCCGAGGGATTCTCCTTTTTATCTCAAGTCCTCGTCATCATTTCTCCCTAAGTCGTTCCAGGCCAAATTGTGTGTTGCCAAAATGTGAAATTACTATGCTCTCAGGAAATGAGAGATTTTGTAGCCTTTTCTCGTTTGTAACTTTTTTTTCTAAATCCGATTTTTTTTATACCTACATTTAAAAAATTGCAAAATTTGCCGCCCCCTAGATTTGCCGCCATGGGCCGCGGGCGCCGCGGCCCATGTGGCCACCCCTTTAATCCGGCCCTGAATAATGGCCAATGAGGCCTCGTGACTGAGTTTCCCACTTGAATTTATGCTTTGCCACCTCCTGATAACAGATCTGCCGTGCTAAGTAAAAACGTCGTAGAAGCACTCAAATGTTGCCAAATTTCTTCTTTGAAAATATTTATTTTTGGTGAAAGTTGTGAATATTGTTCCTAGAAATTTGCAGGATTTTTGGATCACTTTACGAAAACAACTCTCTGAAAAATTGAAGGGGAAATATTCTTAAATACCCCCAAAAATTCGCAATTCGTCAAGGTCAATTTGACAACGCCTTATGATTCATACGGCTTTCTTACTTGTAACGGCAGAGATGGATTTAGAAAAATTGAACCTTTGGATAAGGAGGCGAGGCACGGTCGGAGAGACCGAACAAATTGTGGATGGGGAATAATTTAAAACCCCTCGCAATCCGCAAGCATCGGCCACGGAATGTCGGCGACTCGGCTGTGATGTTTCCTTTTCTTTTGCACGCCATACCGTGCGGCAGTGGCTCCTTCTCTTTCGCACTGCGATGAGGTTTGCCGAAGCGTGGATAGCTTTAATTACCGCAGGAAAGAGGGCGGCGCGGCCGAGAGAACGCCAAGGAAGATTTTGTGCGTTCCAACAAATGGCGGTCATCGATCGCGCACTAGCCTGGCGTGTAGCCTCATTTGATCCTTATCTTACCTCGGACTATGCCAATCATTTCTCTCCCTCACTTCACACGAAGGAACGGCCATAGCCAACGGGCTTGCGAGACAACCCCAGCTCAAAATGAGTGACCTTCGTTTTACGCGTTTCTTGGCGGCGGTTTTGGTTGGTTCCCTCGATAGACCATTTTCAATTTTTTTGATACCTCACTTTTTATCAAACTGGTATCATTTGATGCTCTGGCTCCTTCCAAATGCACAGCAAAGAGGAGCAGAGAGGAACATGCCCAAATTAAACGCTGTTGAGTCAGGTTGGAGCAGTTTGGACTATATGGGTCACGCGACTAATGTAGGTCACCCACAAAGTTTTTCTGCGTGAGAAGGATTTCATCGTTTTGCGGTCTTAGAAAGTTAGCAATACTTGTTTTTCTACCCACGAAGCGAGCAGAAACATACATTTAGAAGTATTTTTTTTTGTTTCATAGCTTCATTAACGGTTGAACTACTCAATTTGGCCAAAAACCGAAACATTTTATTTTTGAACTTTCCACATTATCAGAAATACTCACTTTCGATCCTAATCGTGCAAATTTTTATGACCAGGAGATTTCCTTCCCTACATTTTGGCTCTTTGAAATATAAAAAACAGAAGAAAAAAATATCGATCTTTTCAACACAGCCTTGACATCATGACCTCTTTTAGGCCTAAACGAGTCAACGCTTTAAGGTTTAGTATAGTTTCTTTGATTGGGTTGTCTTATACAACTGGTATTCGTCTAAAATGCTTTTGATTTATTTTCAAAATATGTGTTGTTTACATTGAGGACGGCAACGTTGTTTTATGTTTAAACGATCAAAGCATCATTCGGAAAATTGACAATGTCGCGATAAAAATCAGTAATATTTTGCTTCATCGGTACAATAAGCAAACGCATAAATTTAAAAAAAGCAAAAAGGAACAAGAGAAATCAGCCAGTCGCTCATACTTATAATTTCAAATGCGCTCGAACACTCAATTTAACTTCTGGGTGCAACTATTCGGGCGGTTATAGGACCTTTTGTCAACGATTTTTTGTCCGAGCACTTGTTTTTTCCAGTGGTTAAAGTGCACGCGTTTTTTCGGCAGGGGAGTTTTGGTCCACATACCAATTATTGAGACCCGAAGTTAATTGGTCAAAATTTAAATACAAACAACATTTGCTCACGACGTTTTTGGATAAAATGTATAATGTCTTAGAAGAATGAGGGTTTGCTCTTTTTCTGTTTGTTTGGTTGGCCTAACGGAAACAAATATATAATTGAGAATTTTGGCGTCAATTCCACGAGGGAAAATTCACATGAATGTCCAAAATGACAAGGAAGCTTGTCATTCTTGATACGTTGAAGCGCTTATGATACTGGGCAACACCTATGTCGCGAAATAGTTGCTTGAAACGCCGTAGCACTCCGCAGCGCGGCGGGCGACCAGCGTGGCACGCGCCTGGGCGCCTACAAACCTAACAGGGATACTTCACGCATTGCACAACGCGTGAAGTATCCTGTTAGGTTTGTAGGCGCCAGTGCGCATTCCGCTCTGTGCTAGGCTCAAACACTTCAACTCGTGGAGTCAGCGTTTTTCAACTCATGATTTTGAAATTTTTGCACTCTCTGCACGGATTAGTCTCATTTAAATTGATGAAGAAAAAAAATATGTATTAAAGGAAAATTTGACGTGTGTTTTGGAAATATTAAGGTGGTTCCGTGTCTTATTTAATGATTTCCAAAGCTTTTTAATTTTCTTTTATATTTTGTGCTTTTACTGTGCTGCAACGTGGTGTATTCGCAACCAAACGCTCAAAATTGGACGTGTTTGACTGTAAAAGATCGATGTAAAAGTGGGTTAAAATCAAAGATTACGTCCTCCTTGGTTTTCTCTCTCTCTTTCATTTTTGTATGGTTCCTTTCAACACAAGTACGGCTCATTGGGATTACGTCATTCATCACGTGGCTGGGAGTGAATGACTATAGTGATAACGTGTTCACCCAAACTATATGGGAGCGTGCATCGTGCATACAAACTCCGGCAGAGCTTTCAACGTAAGGCTGACCCATACACCGATGAGCTAAGATTTACATCGGCCAAGAACAACCATCACCAACTATATGTAGATTGCGAACACAGGGGGCGTATGGTCATTTTTATATTTTTACCATCAGGAAGTTATGCAGTTTCCATTTACGTTTTTACAAGTTTTGGCTCTCATAAAGCTCTCTCGGTCCTAAGTAAAAAAATGCTCTAATTGACCGATAGGCTTTTGTAATTTTATGCCAATATTTTTTTATAAAGAATAAAATATAGATGCGACCGTAACAAACCCTCTCTTTTCTAGATCAATGCAATTCATGACTTTCTTTGAATAGGCATCTTATCATAGCCGCAGATCAACACTAAAATTTCTGGCCATTAAACACTCAAAGCCATCCTTCGTAATACATTTCATAATAATTCCATCGGATTCTTGCCGGAAGAAATCTGACGGCTGTGTAAAGTTGTCATACCTGCGGTTTATTCACTTACGCCCGTCATATCATCATCAATAGAGTACCTATCTATTTCATTGGGTGACGGTTGCCACCTTAATCCTTCCACTAACGAGGAGCTGTGCTGTTTTCTGATTTGTATATAAGCAATTTTTAGGC